AGGAGCCTGATAACTAAAAGATCTGCCTCCCATTCTGCTTTTAGAAATTCTAGGAACCACTAGTAAACTTGCCATTTAAAGCCAAGCTCCATCTTGGCTCCAGCCTGGCTCCAGCCAGTACAATACTGAAGCACTGTTAATCACAAGTACTTAAGCTAGAAAAACTATGAATGTGTTTTTTTAGACTATTTCAACAATGTTGTCAGAACTTGATTGTTATGATCTTGGCACCTTAATGCTTTGTTTTACTCTTTGTTCCTCTCACCTGCTTTGCTCCCCCTGCGCTCATTATTTATCAGATCCACCTGTTGCTGCTGCTATTTAAGCCTTTAGGATCCCAGCCTTTGGTGGCAGATTATTCTAGTTCTAGTGAGACTAACTCTAGCGTTCCCAATGTGTATTTCTGCCTGCTCCTAACCCATTTCTGCCCACAGACTTCTGAGTTTTGGCCGCCCCTGTTCTGATCTGTTTTGCCTGTCTTGTGTTTCCGGGCTGTTACCTGGATTCCACCTTTTTTAAACCTTGGACCTGCCTTCTGACCACGGCTTGGATTAACCCTACTCGATCTGTTCCTCTGTGTGCTCTGGCTGCTGCAAGGCGCTGATCCTCTTCTCTCCTGTATCTTTTCTACCGGCTCAGTAACAGTTTCTGCTCCTCTGGACTACACTCCTTCTTCTAGGCTCAGACTGAACTTTACCAGAGAATCCGGTGAGCCAGGCGCATCTGACGAGCAGACGCAGGTCATGTTCAATAAATGGCCTTCAGTAAATCACTGTCTGTCTCGCTCTGAGCCTTATGACATAGATATTTGTATTTTTGGCCGTTATCACTGTGTTGATCATTAAGTACCTGTGGACAAAAATAAATTAAACAGCTCATCAACACGCCAAATAGTTAAAAGTTGTTTACAAAAGTGAACTATTAATCATTATTCATGATAAAAGATATGCACTATGCCTATTAACCCTATTAACTGTTACATCACACACCCCTCATGTCAGCTGATGTAAACAAGTAGACGTTTCTTTTAAGAAAAATGAAAGATACAGAAAATAATGTTGACAAAGGATAAGGTGGGGAATCCTCTACAGAGGTCTGTGGGTGGCTTTTAAAAAAGCAGTTTCAATCTAGCTGTGAGGGTAGATTGGCTGGCTCTAACCAGAGTAGAAAAAGAAGTGGGAGGCCGTGTTGCACAACTGAGCAGAAGAAAAGTACATCGGAGTCTCTCGTTTGAGAAACAGACGCCTCACAGGTCCCCAACTGGTATCCTCATTAAATAGTACCCACAGTAGCCTGTTTGTGCTGTCCTCTGAAGGGAGTAGTATACACTGTTGTAGGAAATCTTCAATTTCTTAGCAATTTCTCAAATGGAATAGCCTTCATTTCTAAGAACAAGAATAGACTGTCGAGTTTCAGATGAAAGTTCTCTTTTTCTGGCCATTTTAACGTTTAATTGGCCCCACAGATGTGACGCTCCAGAAACTCAATCTGCTCAAAGGAAGGTCAGTTTTGTAGCTTCTGTAACGAGCTAAACTGTTTTCAGATGTGTGAACATGCTTGCACAAGGGTTTTCTAATCATCAATTAGCCTTCTGAGCCAATGAGCAAACACATTGTGCCATTAGAAAACTGGAGTGATAGTTGCTGGAAATGGGCCTCTATACACCTATGTAGATATTGCACCAAAAACCAGACATTTGCTAGAATAGTGATTTACCACATTAGCAATGTATAGAGTGTATTTCTTTACAGTTAAGACTAGTTTAAAGTTATCTTCATTGAAAAGTACAGTGCTTTCCCTTCAAAAATAAGGACATTTCACTGTGACCCCAAACTTTTGAATGGTAGTGTATATATATATAGTGTATATATATTAACAATTGTGTTAATTGGCTGATCAGACAATTAGCTTCAACGATCCCCACAGTTCATGAGGCTCCATGAACCCCCCCCCCTTAAGTTCTTTTGAATTTGTCAATGGTTGGTGTGTATAATAAGATATTTTGTAGTTTTTTTCCAGTGTAAAATTTCTTAGGAAAATCATTTAAGGTGCACAGTTTTTCTGCCATTTTAGTGAAATAAACTCAAGCAGACAGTGAAAGTGAGTAAGTGCAAATTGGGCAACGATGAGCAAAATGAAAGGTGTTAGTCGGTTTTATTCAGACATGATACGTAGTTCTTCCACATTTTTTGGAATTAATCGGGTTGGAAGTTGTGTTCCACCAATTTTTTGGCTAAACCGAAATAATTTGGCAGCGTTTTTACCCAATCTATATTTTTACTGGGGCAAACCAATGCAAATCAGTCTCATTAGCCAAAATAATTAAGTATAATCGAAACTTTCAAAAGTCAAAGGTGGGTATTAAACAATTAAACTAAGGAGTGGGAGTCTGTGTCTTATAGACGACACCACTAATGTTGTTTACTGATCAATTGAAAAAAATACTACTA